TAGAGGTTTTAAGGGTTTGTTGAAGGGCTTTTACTTTGGGGAGGAAAAATCTAAAATGGTGGTGTTGGGTAGAAGGGAGCATTGCAGAGGAGTTGAAAGAATTTGAAGGGCAGCTAGCTTTGTTTCTAGGTTTTTCTCATATTAGGTAATTTTCTAAAATAGAGGGGTTTTGGGGAGGTAGTGAAGGTGATGAACGAAACTTGATCTCTTGGGTGGGATCTTTCCTTTCAAAACTAGATCTACTTTCTCCTAAAATTTTTGCCTTATATTTTCTTTTTCTCTTTGATTAAGGTTGGGCATCGGATGGTTTCGGTTGTAACTACAACCAATTTAACAATTAACCGCATAATTGGTTTTTAAAATATAGCAACCGTTAACCACATTAAATTATTACAATTTTTAATACTCGATTATTTTTATTTTATAATTCTCGGTGCTGGTTACGGTTTTACCCAACTTGATACTTAGCATTTTTAGCCTTGTTTCCATATTTCAATACCAAAATTCCGTACTGAAATCAATAATAATCTCATGTTACAAACTTAAATTTGAAAATTTATACAATAATTATCAAGTTCCATAACATGACTCATATAACTTAAATTATCACAAATCATTCATAAACATAGAAGACAATCTCAAGATTACAATCTTGAATTCACAAAGTCACAAAGAAATAACTTAAAATAGTCCCAATTTATGGAAATCATAACAAACACATAGCAAGCACAAAGTGACAACTTAAAGAATCACAAGGTCACAACTTAGGGAATTACCTGAAGGATAATAATCTACTAGCAAGTAGAAACCTTTTCATTGTACCATAGGAGCCATATAACAAAACAGAAAGCTCCATCATGAACTCAATTCATAACATACAGCTAGCAGTAAAGGAGCTATATAACAAAACAGCAAGCTCCACCATGAACTCAATTCATAACATACAACTAGCAGTAAAATATTGTTTCAAACTTGCAAGATTTAGCTAAGTAACTTATAACTAAAAAGGCAGCCATCGTCATCAAAAATCTGTTATGGTTTCCCCTTCATTTTCTATATGTACTTGCAAAAACAAAACTGTCCAAAAAGTATACCTCTGTACAGTAACACCAATAAGTTGATCTTAACTGCACAAAAAAGATCATATCTTCTACTTCTAACCTCTTGTATTGTACGCCAATAATATTTGTCATTTGGAAAAAATAAACATTGGTTAGTAAATTTGTATAAACACTATGAACTATAAAGGGAAAAATAAACATGGAAATGAAAGAGTTTATTGCATAATGAAACTAGAAAAAGGAGAAAACAAAAAAACTTTACCTTAAACCTATATATTGTACTGTACTCTAGTGATATTTGTCATTTGGAAAAAATAAACATTGGTTAGTAAATTTGTATAAAACACTGTGAACTATAAAGGAAAAAATAAACATCAAAATGAAAGAGTTTATTGCATGATGAAACTAGAAAAAGGAGAAAACAAAAACCTTTACCTTAAACCTAAATACTATATAACAGATGCATCAAACTTCAACTTCTCAAATTCTGCAATTTGAAAAAATTGAAAAATTAAAATTTTATAAATTCATAAACTAAAAAGGTGAAAAAGTTGTAATATTATTTTACCCTTTTCAAGCCTTCCCAATTCATCATCATCCTCTATATCAAAAACTTGTCTAGCCTTGGATTTGAGCCAATCTTGAGAACAAATGAGTGCTTGAACCATTCTAGGGGTTAAAGAGCTTCTAAACTCATCAAGAACCCTACCACCAGTTGAGCATGTAGCTTCAGAGGCCACTGTAGAGATTAGCATTGCCAAAACATCCCTAGCCATAGCAGCTACTATTGGGAATCTTGGGCTATGCACCTTCCACCACTTAAGCACATCAAATTCCTCATCAAAGGCCTCTATTTCTTTAGCCAAATATCTTTCCAACTCTAACTTCTTTGCACTTCCTTCAATTCCTTCCAAATATTTGGCATACTCACTTATAAGATATGTCCTCCTTTTCTTACTTGGCTCAAACTTGTCTTGTGTTGGAACTTAGAATCTCCTTTGATTGTTGAGTAGAACATTGACCCCTAGTGTAAAAAGAATAAACATAAAGAAGTTACAACTCTTACAACATATTTAGAAATTACTAAAAATATAAAAAATATAATATTACCTCTTAGAATTTTTATCAGAATAATGCATCTTCTTATAGGCCTCAAATAACTTAACACATTCAGTTCTCACCATCTCTCCATACCTTTCACCTTGAATTTCACCAAACTTCCTTACCAACAGAAATTGAACAAACCCCAAGTTATGCCTTGGATCCAACACAACAACAATGAAAATATTTTTGTTCATCTTCAAGGGATCACCCCAATACTTGTCATAGTTAAGCTTCATATTCCTTTCCATGGAGCTCAAGTCAACATCATCTAGCCACTCTTGAAGAATGCTATCCACTTCACAAATCTCTAGGAAATACAAGTTAGAAGTGGTGTATAAAGTTATTGAAACCCTTTCTGTGAGAAAGTTAAAAGGCTCCAAAAACTTAATTAGCCGCCTAATGTTTTCCCAATTAAGGCATGATGGGCAGCCAAGAGCATTTGGGCTTGAATTCAATTCAAGCCTCAGGGTTGGATCCATCCTTGAATACCTTCATAAAATAAAAATACAAAATAATTAGAATAATCTAAAATTATAAAGGAAAAGTAAAAAATAATAATTAGTTTGTTTGAAAACTGACCTCTCAAATGCCATTTCATACTTCTCTGCAGTCTCTAACATTAGTGCAAAGAATTCCACTTGGTTGGTGTCTCCATGCTCAATAGCTTGTTGCTGTCAATTTTCTCAATAACAACAGCTTCTTTGAACCTTAGAATCCTTTGAGGACTTTGCCTAATAAACTTAACAACAGCTCTAACTGAATTGATGGAAGTATTCATTATTTTGGCCCCATCTTGCACAACCACATTAATTATATGGGCTGCACACCTCATATACAACTCATCCCTTCCTAAGATACTAGTCCCCCACTTATTTATGGCATCTCTAACCACTCTCACAACACCATCATTGGCAGAGGCATTATCAATAGTCATGGCATACACTAGATCAATTCCCCAATCCATTAAACACAACTTAATTAAATCACCCAAATCTTTTCCTTTATGAGAGTCGACAGGACAAAAATTAAGTATCTTCGTATGCAATTTCCAATTCTCATCAATGTAATGAGCAGTCAAGCTCATAAATGAGATTCTTTGTTGTGAGGTCCAAGTATCAATGGTTAAGGAAACCCTCTACTTAAACTCTTTCAAGTAATTCCTAAGAACTACTCTTTCATCAACATACATATCATAACAATGCTTGGTCACGGTTTTTCTAGAAAGGAGCTTGAAATTAGGAGGCAAAGCTACTGCAATGAATTTTTTTAATCCTAACCTTTCTACAATGCTAAAGGGATACTCATCAATGATTATCATTTCAACTAAAGCCCTTTTCATAGCATTAAGATCAAATTTCCAAGTGGTAAGTTTAGTGGCACCATGCCCATCACCATTATCAGCACTATAAAATCTACCCAAACCAAGTAGTTTCTGATTTTTCAAGCTTTTAGGATTCAATTTACAGATTCTTATGTGCTTTTTCATTGTTGAAGTCCCATTATTCCTTGAGCTAGCACATAGAGCCTTCTTACAATGCATACATGTAGCTTTCACTAACTCCTTATCATTTATAAACTTGGTAAAATGTTCCCATACCTCTAAACTTTGTCACAAATCCTATTTCTCAATTTCCTTCCCCTTCCTTTTTGTTGCTTTTCCATCAGTGTTGTCAGTGTTCTTCTCATTCCCTTTGTCATTGGCTACCTCTTTATCTTTTTGCTTATTAGTCCCAGGTTGCACAGAAACAACTACCATATCATCTACATCAATCATGTGTAAATCCTCCTACATTGTTGAAAAAAATATAAATAAAATTATAATATAATGTAAGAGCTTAAAGTATAGAATAAAACAGAAATTAACATTACGTTACAGTTATCATACATCTATATTATCAGCTAATAATTTTTAGTAAATTAATAACTTATGCAAGAGAAAATTAAAATTAACATGCTTGAATTAATAATAGAAGCATCACACTAACCTTAATCAAGGCAAACAATTTCCAAAAATACAACTTTTAGTAAATAGGTTTCATAGAAACAAAGCAGCTAGCAATACAAAAATAAAAATGATCTCTAAAAAAATATTAACTCAAAACAAATCCACGCTAAAAGCTTACACTTGAATTTACTGATTGATGCTCTTCACTATTAATCTCCATGTGAAGATAATCACACTGCATTTTAGATAAAAAAAAAGGAAGTCAACACAAGTAGATATTATCATTAAAACAAATAGATTCATTTTAGGGTTAAGGTTTTCTAACAAACAATGAGGATTTAGTTAAAAAATAAGGGATTGAAATTTAAAATAAAAAATTTCTAAAAATCTTTCAAATGTAATTAAAAAGAGAAGGGATTTATACCTTTGGTTTTGGGCAATTTGTTAATTGAAAGGTATGGGTGACAAATTTTATGAAGAGAAAGGGACAATAGGGATCAAGTTGACAATTTCGGTGGCAACCACAAAGTGGGTCATCACCGGTTACCACCTTTATGAGAGTAGGAAGTTCTGAAGTTGAGAGAACAGAGCAAAAATAAAGATGAAAATGATTGTTTTGTTCGAGTTTAGGTTAATTTTCATTTTTATACTTAGGTTTTTTTCTAGTTGTTAAATTACTAATTTGCCCAAAAAAATCTAATAAAAAGTGATTAATGCATTCTGGGCACAATTTGGGCGGGAAGACTGGGCAAGATAACAAGAATTGTCAAGAAACAAGGCGGGATTGTGGGGAAATGGAAAAAAAATTATAATAAAAAGTAACTTATGCATTCTAGGCACAATTTAGGCAGCAAGATTGGGTGGGATTGTGAGGAAATGGAAAAAAAATTATAAAGAAGTAAAAAAAAAAGAAAAAGAAAAAGGGTCTCAGTTGTTTGGGCCTACTGTTGAGGTTGCCGGTTGTTGGGCCTAAGAGTTGACAACCGCCTGCTTGGGCCATTGGTACAACCACCCACTTAGGCCATTGGTACAACCACCCACTTAGGCCATTGGTACAACCGCAATCGAGGTCCACCACAACCGATCACAAGAAAAGCCCGACTCACCAATTACGGTTGCAGGTGGGCACGAGCATTTTTGTGGCTGCAGTCTTAAATGCCTAACCCTACCTTTGATGTATGGTAACATTCTGGTGATTGGTGTTGAAATTTGTATGAAATTGTTGTGAAATTGTTGTGAAATGAATAATATTCAATTGTTGGATCAGTCGCTTGCTATTCTTTGTTGGATTTTGAATTGAAAACATATTCTGTGAAATTGTTGCTTGAAGTTGGATGAACCCTAATTTTTCTACTTTATCTTCATGTGTTTAATCTATTTTTGCCCATTTTTGTGATCTAGTCACGTTTCTAGATCAAATTACCTGACCCTTCCATATTGGTTTAAATGCTAAAAAAATAATAATAGTGAAAATATAAAAATTAAAAGAAAAATATAAAAAAATTAATTTTGATAATTGGTTTAATTTGTGATTAACGAAATTAATTAAATTTAATTAAAATAAATTAATCATATTTATTGGTTTTAATTAAAATAATTAGATTTGTATAATTATCTTAATTAGGTTTGTCTACTTGTCTTAATTAAAAATTAATAAATATAATTAATTGATTTTAATTAATTTTAATTAATACTAAATTAATCATCTAATTGAGTAAATTATCATGATTAATTGATGTTAACTGGTTTAACTTCTTTAATCTAAGCCAAAGTTTCAAGTCAAAGTCAAAGTTTTAAAAGTAAAAAATTACCTTTCTCTCATTTCAATTTCACCAAAACTTTTATGATTGAGCAATTTAGTCCTTTAGCTTTCAAATAAATTTAAATCAGTCCTTTAAAATTCTAATTTTATAAAATTAGTCCTTCAAGTTTTAGTTTTTTTCAATTATGCATGCATGTTTTTAATTTGGTATGATTTACCCCAAAAGTCATTCAAATGTCACATTTTGGTCCATTTCATTTTCAAGTTGAATTAAAACCCCAATGTTAAAATATGCAACTGTGTTTATGTGGAGGATTGTGGGGTGCATGTATGTTCTTCCTCACTCTAACCAAACCCCCGAATCCCGATCTTTGCATAGACCCATTTTCAATGACTTGTCCCACCTTATAATTTGTACAACTGGAGACTTCATCTCTTTATATTTTTCACACTTAATTTTTCATTATTTTTCTTTAATTTTGAAATCCTAAGTGATCATCAATAGATTGGCAACTCCACTGGGGATCGAATCTAGAATCTCTAGTTTCCATATTCTAGGTTTACGAGGGTCGAGCTAATACTTTAACTTTGGGGATTTTTCAGCTTTTGATTTTCTTTGCTTGTTGAGTCTTTGTTGGTCCTAGTTGCTTGTACATGTGCTTGTTGCATGTTTTTTTGTTGCTTGATTCTTTGGTGGTTGCTTTTACCTTTTTCGTCTTTGAGTGATTATCTTGTTATATCTTAACTTGCATCATACCTTACTCACATGTTCATGCATCATATCGTCTCACATGCTCATCCATCATTGATATTACATGCTTATTCATCGTGCATCATGCTTACATGCCTATTTACTTGTGTGTGGATGTACTCACCTTTTACACTTGGTTATGGCGTACTTGGTGAGTCCCTTCCCTCTTGTGAGATTATTTATACCTTGTTGCATATTGGGTGTTGGTTGCTTTGTGTCGCTAACCTTTTGCATTTGGCATGGGAGTACTAGGTGAGTTTTATCTTACTATGTAAATAGGTTTGTTTGTCGGTACTATATTTATTGAGTGCTTTACATGTTTTATTTTCTTATTTGCTTCATTTGCTTACTGTGGGATATATGTTGTTATTTTTTGTGGTTCCCATTATGCAAGTTATTGGAGTACCATGCTTTTTGCAGACATTCACCTTCATTTTTTGCATTAGGGTAGTGTTTGAGGTAAACTCGATCTTTAGTCCGGAATCCTTATGAATCTAGCTTGGAAGAGTAATTTTTCCCGCTTTAAGGAGTAAGATCAATTCCCGTTAGGTTGTTTCCATTGGTTAATACAACACTTGATTATGCAATATCATCTTGTGTATTAGGTTTTGGAAATATCTCTCATGGATTCCGAAAGGATAAATGGTTGAGAAGGCCTAACACCCTCTAGGAAAGCATGTAGTGAACTTAAAGAGATGCCCACCATAGGTCATGTTTCCCTTAGCATTCCTACCTATGAGGTCTTATGTTTAAGATGCAAAGGGTCATTTTACTTCATTAACCTTTGTTTGCACATATGGCAACATATTTTTATATACTTAATGAGTTATGACTTGTTGAGGGTATAATTTGTGTTTAACTTCTTTAACCTCTTTTTTTTAGGTGTTTAGGTAAGATATTGTGCATTAGACATGGATTTTACCGAGGATACAACTAGATGGGGAAAGAGACTCAGGGAAGATGTTACATCTCATTCTACTTCCAAGAAGGCTAGGGAGTCAATCTTTTCAGTCAATACCTCCAAACCTAACTTAAAGTTGTTGAGAGAAGCTTATGACTTGTTGTCTTCTAGGAAAAAGCATGACTTTGAAGTCCAGTTTGGGTGCATTGTGGATCTATTGTCAATGGTGCCAAATTGGGATTTATTCAGAGCTATGTTGAAATTCTATGTGCCTAAATATCAAGCTTTCATGTTTTCACAGTTTGAGTTGGTGCCCACCATTGATTAGTATCACCAATTTCTTCGGTGTAGTTCTACAGTGGATTCTTATACCTTCACTCCTCAAGCACAACATATGTAGTTCACACCAACAAAGGTTTAAGAAATGTTGCAAGTTATGTGGGGAGTTCCCATTTAAATTCTCACAACCGTTGGTGACAACTAGAAATGATTCTTATGCATTTGATTGGAATGTAACATTTATTACATTGGGAAGGAGTCTGGCTAACATGACATCTCCTTAAAAGATTAACTTTGTGGCATTGGGGATTTATGGCATGGTGATATTTCCTATCTATGTTAAACCATTGCACCTATGGTGATAACCTTGTTTGAGCGATTATTACACACTTCAACATTTAATCCTACTCTTATAGTGGTGGCTGAAACTTTGAGGTCTATGAGAGACATTTTGAGCAAAAAGATCCAGTTGTGTTCTTGAGTTGCATTGAGTTGTTCACTACATAGGCACATGGTCACTTGATGGGTCCTCAATTTGAAGCTTTGCCTAGTGTTCTTGTGGAAGATAGGAAAGTGGAGGATTGGCATCAAGCATTTTTGTCTACAACTGTTAATGATCTCAGATTTGTTCTCCCAACTTGGAATGCTACTCATTATCTTTCTCCACCCGAAGGACATCACTCTATTCCTTTATTGGGTATTCATGGAGGAGTTACATATTCAGTGGAGTTGGCATCCCATCAATTTGGGAAAGCACAAAGTGTTCCTTGTCTAGATGATGCTTTGCAGTCACACTTTGATTACACATCTTTCACGTGATTGTTGACAAGATATCTAAGGCACATGGGATGTGGAACAAATGTAGGATAATGCCCATATGGAAAGAGAAAGGGACTATACCACAATATGAACAATGGAAATCCATTTGGATAGCCAATCTTTCTTTGCCATGGGAGGTGACAATCACAAAAAACTCGACGATCATGGATTTGACTACTAAGTTGGACTTTAGCAATACCCAAAAATTTTAGTTGCAAAAGAAGTATGATAATTAGCTCTTGATCATAAGTTGCTTAAGAAGGGAAAAGAATTGTTTGATTAGCAAGTGGTGAGATTGAAAGACAAAATGACCTTGTTAGAAAAGGATTTGGCTAATAGTAGGAAAATTTGTGAGAAGCAATAAAAGAACTTGAAGTTTGCCAAAGAACAAAGGAAAATGCTATTACAAATAAAGGTGGATCCCAAATAAAAGGAAAAGGAAAACAAGGAACTTATTGAGAAGGTGATTAAGCAATGAGAGTTGGAGGAAAAAGTGGTTTGGTGGTAGAATGCTTACAATAATCTATTGTCTAATTACGGTGCTCTACAAAGAAAATTACAAGCGCCAAAGTAGTTAAAGCAAGGAAGGAAAGAAAATACAGCCTGAACAACTTGGGGAATTTGTCACTTGGGAACTTTTGTGCAAACATTAGAAATTTGGACTTGTCAATGAAAACTTCTTCAATGAATATAATCTTTCTCCCTTATCAAAAGTGTATCCAATGAAGTAAAATCCATGATTTGGATAGCAATTTTCATTTTATTTTCAAGTCTCACATGACATATACATGTTTATTTGATTATTACTATGGATTGTTCTTTTATTAATACTTTTTATTTTGTTTTGTTTTGTCTTTATTTCTCTAGCCCTTTTTGTTTGGAACATCTGTCACTTTTGAAAAGAAATATGGATTCACCCACATCCAAGATACAAACCCTTCCATCCAAGACTTTGTTGGAATTTTGTACTCGTACTTAAAAGCTCAATGAAGAAACCATCTCTTATCTTCATCAACTAACCAAGGACAATGAATGCCTTCACAAAGCCAATGAGCACTTGGAAGAGCAACTACAAGACATGACTATCAATTGTAATCTTTACTAAATTGCCATGGAGGATTTGCGTTATCAACTCCAAGCTGAGAAGCAAAAGAACCAAACTCTTATTGAAAAGAACATCAGCCTGCGTGAAGTTGTCATTAACATGACAACTTTGGTGAATCAATTTGAAGGGAAGATGGCTGAGGCTCATCACCACATTGCTCAAAAGACCTATCCGATTAAGAAGGGATTCTTCTAGCTAGTCTTCAATTTTATCTTTAACATATCCAATGTGCTCAAGAAGTTGTATTAGGATTTATGCTTTCTAATGAGTTTGTTTTGACTTTAAAGAATGAAGGCTTGTAAACACTTTGAATGCAACTTTGTAATGCTTATCGACTTTATTTAAAAAGTGCATTCCTTCATTAGTTTGTCTTAACTTTTAAAACATGAAGGCTTGTAAGCATTTTGAATGCAACTTTGTAATGCTTGCCAACTTTGTTTAAAGTGCATTCATTTAGTTAATGAAAATCATGTCTTAACACAACTCTTTGTAAAACAAGGAAATATTCTCGCACAAGGTTGGGATGTTGATGTGAGAATGCATATGGAAATTCAAAAGACAAATTGATGGTGTAAACAGAAAGGGCTAAAATCACTTTTGTTTCCTAATTTTTTTTTTTTTTGTCTTTACATTTTTGTTTTTAGGTAAAGTTTCTTCTAATCATAGCTCCAAGTCGAAAAATCTACAAAAGGTGGCGTTCTCCTTATTTGTTCAAATCTAAAGTACTTAAAATGTTTCAGGAAAATACTGCTATTAATCTGGAAAAATCAACTGTGGATGAAAGGGTTGACAAGTTGGAAGCCATAATGCAAACTATGGCTTCTACTCTTCAAGCTATTAGTCTTACCTATCAAATCAGACTATTGCATCATTTTCTACATTTGCATCCTTAGTACCCATAATGCCCATCATGTCTACCCATGTTCCATCATCTACCATCACACCAGGTAATCATGCTAAGGCTCCCATGGTCACACGAGTGCATTTTCCACCTATTTATGAGAATCAACCACTGATTAGGGAATCAACTTTACATGCACCACAAACATCGCCTCTGGTTACTATAACCTCACACTTTTCACTCAAGAAGAACAATCTTATCTTACCCACAACTAGCCCTTTTACCCTTAACATGCCACCTTTGTTGGGACAAGGGCCAACTATTTAACCAACCCCTTCAGTTGAGATATTGGAACCTACTTTGGAGGATAGGAGGTCAAAGGAGGTTGATCACAAATTACAACAATTAGAAAAAGCTTTAAAAGCTATACAAGGGCCACAAGTTTATGGTTCTATTGATTTGGAGGATCTTTGCTACTATTTAAGAATTCAGACAAATTTCAAGTTCAAGCAACTAGATGTTGAAAAGTATGATGGCTTAGGTTGTCCTTATACCCACCTATAGATGTATTCCAAGAAAATGGCACCTTATGCCAATGATGAGAGGGTACCAATTCATTATTTCCAATACGGTCTCCTAAGTCCTGCAAGTGTTTGGTTTTCAACACTTGACAAAAAAAAGATTCTCACTTTCAAGGATGTTCCTTAGGCTTATAATATGAGCTTGGCTCCTATAAGGGAAAGCTTGTAAAGAATTACTAACAAGGGTAATAAGACTTTCAAGGAATCTGCTCAACGATGGAGATTTGAAGTAGCTAAAATTATGCCACCCCTCATTGACAATAAAATCTATTCTCTCTTTATCAAGTCAATTATTGGAACCTTCCATGCATGATTAGCTTCTTGTGTGGGATATCCTTTTGCTCAATTAGTGATAGCAAGTGAACAAATTGAAGATGGGCTTAAGGTAGGCATTATTATGGACTTCCAAGCTATCTAGAACCAATTAAAGTAAGTCAAAATCAGTGGCACTAGATCGGCTTCAAAAAGGTTTGTACCTAAAGGGAAAAAGGGATGATGAGGAAGCTTTGAATCATATTTACACTACTCATGCCAAACCAATTTATAATGTGAAAAATGTTCCTTATAATTAGCAACCTCAATATGTTCCAACTTATCAAGCTACCACCTACTATAAAGGAGGCCAAACTTTAATGCTCAACCTCCAACTAGATAGCAATTGTTGCCTATAAATAAGCCAAGACAGTTCACAAAACTCCTAATCCCTTATAGTGAGGTGTTGAAGTAATTAGTTGAAGTGGTTTTGATAAAGACAGTACAAGCAAATCTTATCCAACCACATTATCTTTAGTATTATGATCCGCAAGCTAGATGTGAATATCACAAGATGGTAGGCCATGCTACTGAATATTGTCCAACTTTGAAGTATAGAATTCAAGATCTCATTGATGAGGGGAAACTTTAGCTTGATGCTAATGAAGCTAAGAGTGCTCCAAACATCACTCAAAATCCTTTAGCTCCATATGATGCAGCTTTGACAAATATGGTCACCATCGAGGAAGTTGAAAGGCCTATGTTGGAGAATGTCAGTTCTTGGTCTCTTGAGGAATTGTTTGCTATTTTGACAGGGTATGACTTGATTTAGCTAATTTCACAAATGAGTTTCAATGTTTCAACTGTGATGATTAATAATTCTTTGGTGTGTCTTTACCACTCTAATATGAAGGGGCATACTTTGTGGAATTGTGGGGATTTTCAAAGAAAGGTTAAACAGCTACAAAGAATGGGATCTTTGAAGTTCATGTCTGCTCTTGAGTCAGAGAAATTGATAGCACTAGTGACTAATGAACACTTCACTAAGAGAGGCCTTACATTTTGCAAGATACTAAAAAGTCACACATTGTCAGTCAAAATCCATAACAACCCTATGTTTTGAAAACCTATCTTAAGGAGTCATTTGTGGAGAAACCATCATATGTGGCCAATAGCCATGTTCCTTATTCACTTATTCACTTAAAGCCATGCCTTTGTGTTACATTGAGGGATCTACCATTTTGAATTCTGCAACTAATATTGTCTCTAATATGACCCATAGTGGTCGAGGCTATGTGAATCTTGAAGTGGAGGAGTTGAGAAGAGTTGTTTTGAAGTCAAAGGATATCAAAATTGAAGAGATGCTAGAGGAATCATCCAAGAAGCCAATGTCAGAAAAGGAAGTGGCTGAATTCTTGAACATTTTGAGGAAGAATGAGTATAGTATCATTGAACAGCTCAATAAAACCCTTGCAAAAATTTCCATCTTACAATTGATGTTATTATCTGAGGCTCATCAAGATGCTTTACTCAGAGTCTTGAAAGAGGCTTATGTGCTTAATAACATTGATATCCAAAAGTTTGGGATTGTGGTTAGGGGCAATTTTGGCTCTAGATTACATTAACTTCACTGATGAAGAGATTCTTGATGAAGGAAATGGGCATACCAAAGCTCTTCATGTTTCCATCTCGTGTAAGATGATGAATATGCCTCATGTCTTGATTGACAATGGGTCAGCTTTGAATGTGATTCCTATGACTGTTTTAAAGCAATTGAAAGTTGATGAGTTTCACATTAATCATTGTAATACTGTGATTTGTGCCTTTGATGGAATAGAGAAAGTTGTGATTAGAAAGATTGAGCTTTCAATGGAAATTGGTCCTATGACTTTTAACGTGGATTTCTTTGTTATGGATATTGCTCTTGCTTTTAATATGCTTCTTGGAAGGCTTTGGATACATGTTGCGGGGCCAGTACCATTGACTTTGCATCATAAAGTCAAGTACATTGTCAATGGTGTTCTCGTTACAATGAATGGTGAGGAGAAGCATGTCATCTGAAAAGCTATAACCATCCCTTACTTGGGAATTGATCTTGGGATTTATGAACCCTTTTATCACTATATGGAGTGTGCTGCTGCTTCTTATATTCATGTAAAATTCAGAGGAAAAAAGGCCAAAATGTCTGAACCTACCAAGGTTGCTACTAGGATCATGTTTTCATGTCATTATCAGTTGGGAAAAGGTTTGGGATTCTTGAACCTATTGAGATAATTCAAACTCAAGGAACTTTTGGTTTGGGATACAAACCGAAGAAAGAAGACTGGCAAAGGATTCGTATTGTTAAAGCTAAGAAACACCTTGCTAGAATTCAAGAGAAAGACCCACAAGATGAACCAATGTGGGTACCGCACATCAGAGTCACATTCTCATGACCTACTAAGATTTTGAACCCTTTTCTTGATGAATATATGGTGAAGTGTATAAATGTTTTATATGTGGATCCAAAAGGTATTGTTTTCTCCAATAAATTGCTTAAAGTGGGAGAATGTTCAAAGAAAGCATAGTTTGAGGAAGTGGTTGTGGAAGACATTACTAATGAGGTCTATTTTGATGATGAAGAAGACCATTATAGTTTTAACAATCTTTTTGGGTCATCCAACATGACAAATCTTAAGGAAAGGTGAAGAAGGATACTAACTGAAAGGGCATTTATGGAGAAGCACCCCAACTTCCATCTTGTTCATCATGCAAAAGCTTAATGGGTTCACATGAGTCTTTACCTCTTGAATCAATGCAAAAAGAATCACTATGTGACTCATGGGGAAATTTGACCATAAATGCTCTAGATGAGGAAAGACTAGAATTTGATAGAAGAATTTCTCTAGTCAATGGAAGCTCTCAAGCTAATTAGACAGTGAAACTTCTCCTTGCAGCTTTCATCTCTGAGTAAGAAAAATTAGCCTTCTACTAGTTCTACTTGTGACTACGTGAAGGGAAGGATTCAACAAGCACCTTTATATTTCTGAAATTTATGTTATCATGCTCCTAGTATTTCCCATGCTTTCTTTTTCAATAAAATATGTTGCAATTCTACCTATCATTGTAAAAATTATCATGATGCAACTCTACTTGAATCTTCATTGTACAAACCTCTTTACTTTATTAACATTTAGCCATTTATTTACTTCCCATCCAAATTTTTAGGGCTACTAATGATGAATCTTTAAATAATGATGCCATGTCAGACTTTATTTATGAGATTGATGATCATACCTATAATGAAGAAGACAATGAAAACCTTGATCCTTCCCATAAATTAACTCAAATGCTAAGAGAGGAAAAGTAAAAGATGCAACCAAATCAAGAGACAAAGACCATTAATCTGGCCACTAAAGATGAAATAAAGGAGATAAAAATCAATGCTCATCTATCTTTAAAGGAAAGGAAAAAGTTAATAAAGCTCTTATTTGAATTACAAAATGTTTTTGCTTGGTCCGACAAAGACATGCTAAGACTTGATCTTGAGATCGTTGTTCATGCCATTCCACTTTATCCTAATGCTAAGCCAGTCAAGCAAAAACTAAGGAGGATGAAGCCAAAGATTTTGTTGAAAGTCAAAAAAGTGCAAAAGCTACTAGATGTCAATTTCATTGAAGTAGCTATATATCCAAAATAGGTAGCCAACATCGTTCCTGTAATAAAGAAAGATGGCCGAGTTAAAGTTTATATAGATTATAAAGACTTGAACAAAGTAAGTCCCAAGGATGATTTCCATTGCCTCATATCCAAATCCTACTAGATAATGCTGCCAAAATTACTCAGTTCTTTTTTGTTGATGGCTACTTTAAATCAAATAAAGATAAAGGAAGAGGATAAGCTCAAGACAACATTCATCACTCAGTGGGGTACCTTTTGCTACAAAGTTATGCCTTTTGGACTAAAAAATGCCAGGGCAACATACTAACGCTGCATGATTACTTTATTACATGACTTTGTACATACAATTGTTGAACTATATGTTGATGACATGATGATTATGTCCAAAGAAAAGGTGCTACATACAAAAAATCTTAAAAAGGTGTTTGAGTGTCTTAAAAGATACCAAATGAGGTTTAATCCTACTAAATGTACTTTTGATGTGGATTCAAGAAAGCTACTCGATTTCTTTGTAAGTCGTTGAGGAATAAAGATTGATCTAGCCAAAATAAAAGCCATTGATGAAATACCACCACCAAAAACCCAAAAAAAAGTCCAGAGTTTCTTGGGAAGAATTAATTACATTAGTCGTTTCATTGCTAATCTTACCACCATTTGTGAACCTATCTTTAAACTCTTTAAAAAAGACAACCTTGATACCTAGAATAACCAATGCCAACAAGCCTTTGACAAAATCAAAGAATATCTCAAAAACCTATTAATCCTTGTACCACTAGTTGATGAAAAGCCTTTTATCCTATATATCACCGTTCTTGAGAGATCTATAGGACCTGTCCTTGTCCAACATGTTGACTCGGGTAGAAAAGAGAGAGCCATTTATTATGTGAGTAGGAAATTCAATGATTGTGAGAGTAAATACTCAACCTTTGAGAAAACTTGTTGTGCCTTAACCTAGACCTCCAAGAAACTTTTCCACTACATGCTACCCAACACCACTTACCTATTTTCAAGAATGGATCTAATAAAATTCATTTTTGAAAAACCCACCCTTTCTGGAAGAATGTCTCGTGGCACTTGTTGCTTTTCGAATTTAACATTATTCACACAACACAAAAGGCCATCAAAGGGCAAGCTATTACAGATCATTTACTTAAGCATGCAATGGAGGATCATGAGACTATTGATTGGGATTTTCCTAATGAAGACATTTTAGCAGTGGAGGAATTGTCTAATTCAGATAATTGGAAGCTCTTCTTTGATGGAGCTGTTAATCAACTTGGTTGTGACCTTGGAATCGTGTTGGTATTCCCAATGATGATCATTTTCCTATTGCTATAAAGCTTGATTTTGCTTGCACCAACAACATAGTTGAATATAAGGTTTGTATTGTCGGAATACATGTTACTTCGGACATGAATATCCAAGATTTAGAGATATATAGTGATTTGGCACTAATCATCTGTCAAACAAATGGTGATTGGCAAACTAGAGATCCAAAACTCATTCCTTATTACAAATACCTTAAAACTCTCATAAAAAAAAATTCAAATTCATTTCTTTAAACCTCATGCTTGTGCCAAGAACCAATTTGCAGATGCATTGGCAACTTTAGCCTTAATGATCCAAATCTCTAGTGATGACATAATCAAGCCTTTGATGATTGAGATCAACCAAAAACTAGCATACTACATGGAGATCAAGGTTGATGATAAACCATGGTTTCATGATATTAAGCAGTTTTTGCAACATGGGGAATATCCTCCTCATGCTTCTAAGGTGAACAAGAAGACAATTAGAGAATTGGAAACTTCATATTTCTTGAGCAGAGAAGTATGCTTTATAAGTGGGCTACTGATATGACCTTGTTGAGATGTGTTGATGAAGCAGAGGCAAAGCAAGTCATGACAGAGGTGCATGAAGAGAGATGTGGAACACATGCAAATGGAAAAATGCTTGCTAGGAAGATTCTCTGAGCCGGGTATTATTAGTTGACTATGGAACATGACTATACCAAGTTTGCACAAGCTCATCACAAATGTTAGATTTATGCTAACCATATTAATGCTCCGCCTTCATTACTACATTATATGTCTACTCTTTAGCCAACCACAAATCATTGAAAAAGGTGATATGGGGCCGAGTAAGCGTAATCCAAAGGCCCAAATCTCAGTTTTAAGACTAGGAAACAGTAGCTTGAATAAGGTAGTCCAGTAGTTTAGGCTTGATTCTGTGAATGGTTGATTTAAAATTTGGGTTTTTCTTTAGTTTTGGATAGTTTTCTTTTTAGGGTTTGTTGGGAGGTATAAATAGAGGTTTTAAGGGTTTGTTGGGGGGCCTAAACTTTAGGGAGGAAAAATATAAAATGACAATGCTAGGAAGAAGGGTGCATTGCAGAGGCGTTGAAAAAATTGGAAAGGCAGTCGGCTTTGTTTTTGGATTTTTCTCATTTTAGGTAATTTTCTAAAACAAAGGGGTTTTAGGGAGGTAGTGAAGGTGATGAACGGAGCTTGATCTTATGGGTGGGATCCCTTCTTTTGAAACTAGATCTACTTTTTCTTGAAATTTCTACCTTAGATTTTCTTTTTCTCTTTAATGTATTGTGACAATCTAGTGATTGGTGTTGAAATTTGAATGAAATTGTTGTGAAATGAATGATATTCAGTAAATTGTTGGATTTGTTACTTGTTATTGTTTGTTGGATTTGGAATTGAAAACATATTCTATGAAATTGTTGCTTGAAGTTGGATGAACCCTAATTTTTCTACTTTATCTTCATGTGTTTGATCTGTTTTTATCTATTTTGACAATCGGATCATATTTCTGGATCAAGTTACTCGACCCTTTCATATTGGCTTAGACACTAAAAAAAATAATAATAGTAAAAATATAAAAATTAAAAAAAACATATAAAAAAAAACAAATTAATCATGATAATTGGTTTAATATGTGATTAACAAAATTAATTAAATTTAATTAGAATAAATTAATTATATTTATTGGTTTTAATTAAAGTAATTAGATTTGTTTAATTATCTTAATTAAAAATTAATAAATATAATTAATTGATTTTAATTCATTTTAATTAATATTAAATTAATCATCTAATTAAGTTAATTATCATGATTAATTGATGTTAATTGGTTTAACTTCTTTAATCTAAGTCAAAGTTTCAAGTCAAAGTCAAAGTTTAAAAGTAAAAAATTACTTTTCTTTCGTTTCAATTTCACCCAAAAATTTTATGACTGAGCAATTAGTTCTTTAGCTTTCAAATAAATTTAAATCAGCCCTTTAAAATTCTAATTTTACAAAATTAGTCCTTTAATTTTTAGTTTCTTGCAATTATGCATGCATGTTTTTAATTTGGTATGATTTACCCCAAAAGTCATTCAAATGTCACATTTTGGTCCATTTCATTTTCAAGTTGAATTAAAACCCCAATGCTAAAGTATGCAACCATGTTTATATGGAGAATTGTGAGATGTGTGTATACCTTTCTTTACTCCTAATTGAATCCCTAAACCCCATTTTTTACGCAAACCTATTTTCAATGACTTGTCTTACCTCACATTGATGAATGGTGATCCAAAAAGGTAGGTTCTGCACATTCCTACTCCGTCACCATACCTAACCATTAATGAAATTAGGTTTAATGATAAATAAAAAATATATAAAGAATATCCAAAATCTTTTCTTATGGCAAATAAAATTTAGAGGAAATGGAAATTCAAGCCTCCTTGGCAAAAAATATGCTAAGACAACCTAAATAAATGATGTCGTTGTAACAAAAAAAGCCAAATAATGCCTTCTCCTCCCTTTCTCTCCAAGTTCCTTCTTGCTAAGTCCCATTCCCATCGTTTCTTCCCCTACTTAACTCATCCTCAAATCCTTCTCTCTTACTGGAAATCATTGTTCTAAATACTATAGGCCCATCATCGTCAATCATGCATAGCGGACTAGCCCTTCTTATGTAAAATCCAACTCATTTTGAGAAAATAAATAGCATAGGCCCCATCTTTAGACCCATTCAAGACCATGTTTATTGGAGCTTTTCTGCTTCCACAAATTTGCAAAATTTTGGATGCAATTTTCTATTCAAACCATTATGAATCCATGAAAATGGACTTGGGTTTCAAAGCCCCTTTTTCTTAAATTGAGGTTGAAGATATAGATAGGTTAAAAGTAAAAAAATTTTCAATTTTATGAACAAACATTAGGTTCATCCTCATGTTAAAAGTCACATTAACCAAATCTATCCAATTTTACAATATTAAAATCACTAATTTCATATTCTGGTGTCAGGAGAATTGAAATTAAAATTTCAATCCAGATTCAAAATTTTGATTTTAAAAGCCCAAACTAAATAACTGGATGAGAAATCAAAGAAATAGAGGAATAAAAGGTGCTTAGAAATTGTTTTTTT